CCTTTACTAGCTAGAGCAATTTGGGTAATTTACTTCACCTTTTTGAGCATTTATTTCTTTCAGAAATGAACATTTGTTACTTACCTCAGGTGAGTAGTAAATAAGATAAAGGATTTGAAGTGCCTGGACCATGGTAGATGCTCAGTAAATATTAGCTCCTGCCTTCCTTTTTCTCCATCCCTGTACTGCTAGCAGTTCCCCAGGACTAGGCTTCCAAGAGACAGTCATCTGGAGAGACCATGATTGCCTTCTTCCACTCACGCCAATAACATTCTAAAAGACATTATTATTCTCTGCAGAGATCAGTTGAGTGAATTTACAATGAGTTTCCAAACCTCTCAGGCCTAGAAATATCCCTAAACCTGATTAGAAGAAAGAGGAATTTCTTGAAGAAAGCCATTCATTGCATAATTAGAGATGGTAGGCTTAAAATGAAAATAACTGTTGGAGGTGATTTAGTGTAAATGTTTCATAAAATCAACCAAACAAAAATAGACTGTCATATCCTTCCTTGTTTTGATAGAAAGCAAAGGAGTGTAAAAAAAAGAGAAAGAAAGAATAAAGGGGAGTAAAATATAGAGGGAATGAGATACAGAGCAAAATGTAAAGTGAAAAGTCTCCTCCTCCTGACTTCTGACATCCTGTCCCTCTCCCCAGAGATTTGTTAACTATCCTGTACATCCTTCCCAAACAATACCAGAATGCAGTTGTGTCATTTAAACCCACACATGCAATAATACATACACTCTATTGCTTTTTTCTATATGCACTTCTTTGCTTTTTTTTTTCTTTCAGTCAATAACATATCTTGGAGATTTTCTCCTGTAGACATATATCTACCTTATTCTTTTTTCACTGCTATATAGTATTTTATTGAATAGATAATCTTTATTTAACCAGTCCTCTATTCATGACATTTAAATTTCTTTAGGGCTAGTTTCCAATACAAACTTCTATATTTAGTGTTTAACACAATATAATTTTATCACATTACAGCCACACGCCAGTTGGACGGCCTGTCTCCATCTTGTAGCTCTGCTGTCTGGCCATGTGTCCTCTAAGGACACCACAGCCAAAGATGGCTTGGAAAAGGCTCACTAGTTCTTTACTACCTTGCCCCTCTTTTTGTGGCCAGAAGAAATGTCTGAGGCTAGGAAGTATCACAGAGCACCTGAATATTTGGGGAGCACCAGTCATCTCTGCCACTGTACCAAAAGTAAACTCCTTCATCAAGCTTCAGAAAGCAGGGGTAGTCATTGCCCAGAAGTTCATTTGAGAAATCAACTCTGCATGTGCCAGGAGTGTGTGCTCATTTCCCAAGCAAGCCAGTGTATGATTGGCTGCTTTACAAGAAGTAGAGAGAAAATATCTTGGGAGATGATCATATTTGACTTGATTCTGGGTGCCACATTTTAAGAAAGATTGATATTAACTGTGTTCAGGGAAGTGTAGCCAAAACATGTAAGGATCTATAAATTTTGTCTAGAAGACTAGCTCCCCCGTCCAAAAAACTATGGTGTCTTGGAAGAATTTTCAAAGACTTAGAGAAGAGGTTAATGGCTTATAGAGTACAGCATAGACTTATGCTGTGTTGTTCCCAAGGAGAGAACTAGAACCAGTTGCTAAGAGTTTTAGGAAGATTTCTCTCACAATGGAGAATATTTAATCAGTAATTTGAGATCTTCATAAATCAAGCATAAACTGGATGACATCTGTGAAGAATATCGTAAGGAAGATTTCCTGTTTACCATGAGAGATTTGGTCTAGATAATGTGTATGATACCTTTTCAAATCTGGTTTTTTTATCATGAATGTCAAGTGAATATTCCTTTTTCTTTTTAAATAGGACACCGATGAAATTCAGGTTAACTATCCTGGAATGTTTGAATTGATGGAAGACTTACAAGGTAAGGCACTTTAAAGAATTTTTAGACTCCTTTGAGAGACATATTTTGAGAGCCAACTTTATGGCAGGCACTGGGGCTAAGCTCTAAGGATCCATTGATGAGGAGAAAACAGACTGTCTTCGTGGAGCTCATGATATAAAATGGAGGAGGCACACACACTAGGCAGCTGTCACAACGATAAGTGTTAAATCCGAATTGTGGTTAATGCTATGAAGTTGAGGTATATAGTGCAATGACTACTTATGAAAGGATGGCGAGACTTTCGTAAAGAGTGCATTTGAAGATGGTAGAACATATCAATGACTTCCTCCAGCCACCGTTGGCAGCTGAGGTCCAGGCACGAGAAAACAGAGAGTTGGGTTAGGTTAGGAGTGGGCTTTTGTCAGGGGGATAGGTCCTGCTCTGACAGACTCAAAGAAGTCTTGTCTGAGGAAGTGGCAATTGAGCTTTGTTCTAAAAAAATAAAGATGAGTTAATTAGGTGGAAAGGGCAGGGAAGTGAGTCCCAGGCAAGGAGAACAGTATATGCAAAAGCCTATGGCAAGAACTGAAAGAAGGGCATTTTGGCTGGAGTACAGGGAGTAAGAAAGAAAGGTAAGTGATGATGTTGGTGGATCAATGAGGGTCAGAGATCACACAGCAGGCCCTTATTGGCCTTGTTAACAATTGTCCTTACCTTAAAATGCCCCTTGAGGGTGTATGGACTAAGGCAATGGAGATGAAGAGAAGTGAATGCATTCCAGAGATATTTAGGAGGTAAATTTGACAGTTCTTACTGGTGGATTAGATGTTGGCAGATGAAGGAGAGAGACATTGCAAACATAACTGCTGAGTTTCTAGCTCACATAACCAGATATATGGTGTCCTTTATTGACAGAGGAAACAGTAGAAGATGACCAAGTTTGGACAGGGACAGTTGTTGAGTACATATTTGGATACATTGGGTTTGAAGTGCTTTTAGAATATCTAAGAGGAGATGTCAAGTAGACATTTGGGTATATGGGGATGTAGCTCAGAGGAGGCTACTGGCCTGGTTAAAAAGTTGTGAGTCATTTGTGAATAGGTGGTGTTTGAAACAGTTACCTATGGCAAGAGCATGGAATGAGCAAAGAAAGTAGCTTGGTACTGAGCCTTTAGGAACCGACTGTATAGTGACTGGTTAGAAGAAGGATGAGCCTGCAAGGAGACTGAGAAGGAATAGCCAGCCAGGTGTTCAGAAGAAACATCAGAAAAGTGTAGAATTGCCTGAACCAAGAGAAAGGTGTTTCAAAACAAAGGGAGCACTCAGCAGCATCAAAAGCAAAATACAAACTGAGCAGAAAGTCCATTAGATCTAGAAACAGAAGATTATTGGTGACCTTGGTAGAGTGCTTTTATAGGAGTGAGGGAAGGAGAATATTGGGAGTAAATTAATGAGTAAGTGGCAGGTGAGACAGCAAATGTATGCTGTTCTCTCTAGAAGTTTGGCTATGAAGAAGTGAGAGATGGAAAGGTTACAGGTGTCAGAAGAGAGGAGAGGAATAAGAGATGGGATGAGGTTTTGTATTTTGTTTTGTCTTAAGACTTGAACTGCTGACTGGGGGAATCCAAGTGCTTCCCTGGAAGGGTGACTCTAGAAGAAAGAGAAGCAATAATTGGTGATTCAGGCACCTGAGAAGGTAGAGGCCAGCAGAGGGGTTGACCTTGGATAAGAGGAGAAGCAGATTTGTGGAAGGAAGGGAGGAGAGTAGTGCCAATGGAGCAGATGTTTATGTTTGATGGCAGGAAGTTCCCATCTCGTGGGTATGTTTTCTTTGTCAAACAGGAAGCAATTTCATATGCTGAGAATGATACAGTCAGAGGTTTGAGAATTGAGTGGAGATGATTTGAAATAGTCATGTAGAGACTGGGAAAATGAATTGACCCAGGGAAAAGTTAGAGAATTCGAATGGTGCATTTGAGTTGGTAAGATACATAAACAGTAGTTCAAAACCAGGTACAAAAAAGCAGATAGTTGGGTTAGTTTGATTGGAGTTTGCTAGTTGAAAATGACAAAAAGACAAAGGCAAAAGATAGCTCTAAGAGTGTAATTGGAAGAATCTATGCTGGAATAAAAGGGAAGTGGGGAAAAAAAAGAATGAGCTGATGAAGTGGGAGAAAGTAGAGCAGCCATGCACAGGCGATCCCAAAGTGGTTAGAGAATAGTCATGGTTGAAGTACCTGAACATACTGGAAGGACAGGAGGATCTGAGCAGAAAATGGGATGTTTGATGGTTTTGGAAGTAAAGCAGTTACAAGTGATAACTCAGTCTGGAACATGTCACAGAGGCAGAGGTGGAGTGATAGAGAAGTTCATTAGAGATGAAATTAAAAAAATCTTAACTTGATGGTTACTAACATCGAATTCACCCAGGGTGGTGGCAGAACTGGGAATATAGGGTAAACGTGGCTGGGTGCCAGACCCTTCAGTGAAGGAGAGGAGTGACTAGCCTGATGTCTGACAGCAAGCAGGAGTAGGGGAAAGTAACAGCCAAGTGCTCTGGGCCTCATCAGGGTGAGGGTGCTAGATAGGCTGGGGAAGTACCTGTAAGAGCCTTTGAGGAGTACCAAGGGCACAGATCCAACTCCAAATGCAAAAACAAGCATCTGTTACTTGAAAGGGATGCTGGAGAGGTGATTTTTCTCAAAAGAGAGCTTCAGCTTGCCTCCTGTGTGAGAATTTGTGAGTTTCATTTGTTTTTTTACACAGATGTCATAGTTTTGATGAATGATGGAAGCTAGAGGGGTTAAAGGTATGTTCTGTGAAGCTAGGGGAGCCTTAATCTGGATTGTGAAAAATTGTAAGATGATTTAGAATAAGAGGATTATAAAAGTAAGTGTCTGGTCTTTACAGATTTATGAGTTTTTTTGCGAGCACTGCTGCACTTACTTTCCTGTATTACATGTGAGAAAGATTAGACCCAAAGAGAACTACCTGCTTGTTTGTGGCAGAATTAGGTGCCCAACTCTTGTCTTGTCAACTCTTGCTCTGTGCTCTCTTAACTGACCCTATTGCTTCTTGGAGTTGTCCGTTTGTAACAAAGTTCATCTTGCCCATTGTCCAGTGTCCTCTGAGTACATATGAAACTTCTGTCAACTTTACAGGGGAAAGATGTGTAGCTGAAATGTGTCATTGTAGTCACTTTTCATTCATTATAATATAATAGATTAGCAGCCTGTAGCATGCGTGCCCAAGATGACAGAGAATCAATAATACGACTCCCTTCCCAAGCACTGCCCACACACCTTTATGCAAAGGCTTGAGAGATGGTGGTGGGCTGATGATTTCTCATTCAGGCTCTGATGATAAAAATATGTTTCAAATACAGCATTTATTTTTGTTCTGCTGTATAACAAATGCTGTGCTCATGATTCAAGAAAGAAATGAGAAAGAGACCTATTAAATGAGAAAGTAGACCTATTAACTACCATTCTGACCAAGTTATAAAACATTTCCAGGCCGCTAAAAGGTTGCCTCATGGCCCATCCCAGTTGATAACCCCTCTTCCCCTAAGGGGAACTATTTCCTAATTTTTTCCTTTGAGAAGCTTTGTCAGTGCTTTTCATTTTCACTATAAAGTCATTTACAGAAATGCATTTTAGTCTTTGATATCTCTTATTCTTAGGAGAATTCAGAGGAACTATTTAAATATAACATGTCAAAGTAATATTTTACAAAGTAGATATAAACATTAACTGGTTGATTTTATATTCATCCACTTACTATTTATTGAGCATCTACCACATGCCAACCACTGAGCCAGTGGTGTAAGTACATAGTTCTGGTCTCAGGGAGCTTCTATTCTAGTAGAGAGGAAGAGACACACAAAGATAGGCAGATATTTGCATTCAACTGTAGAATGAGATCATTGTTTTTTAAAGTACACGGAGAAACACGAGAGAAAAAGTGCTTAAATCTGCTTAGGGAGTCAGAGATGCTTTTGCAGAAGAGGCAGCATCTAAGCTAAAATGAGTTTGCCAGGAGAATGAAAGGGTGGGTTCAGGTTTATGGGGGTGGGCATTACATTCCACACTGAGGAAATGGCCAGTGTAAAGTCGTGGAGGCGTAAGCGGATATGCACATCCTTTACTCTCCTGATGAAGGAACTGTACAGTAATTCAGTATTGCGTGAGTATGTAGAATGGGGAGATTATGTGAAGTGGCAGAGGATCAGAGGCTTCTGTATTTTTTCAGGTGAGCTTTGTAGTCTCGTGGAAGAATTTTGCACAGAGGGGAGACAATCAGATAGATTAGTGTGTTAGAAATCTCACCTTCCAGCATTGTTTGTGAGGCCTAGTTTATGAGGAAGGTAAGACTAGAGCTAGGATGGCTAATTCGTATTGTTATGTAGAAGGAAACTGAGGCACAGAGCGAAGTTAAGTAAATTGTCCAAGATGATGTGATTAGTAAGTGGTAGAGCCAGGATTTAAATTTAGTCAAGAAGCCTGATTTGTGTCCTGAAATCTCAACCACTCTACCACGGGAAAAGTCAGAGACAGGTGGGACGAGTGGAGGAGGGAGGAGAACTTGGGAGACTTGCAGGTGTGCTGCTTTGCCAACTGGAAGACTGTGTTACTTTCAAATTTGTTTTTGGTATGTTACATTTGTAGTATACTTTTTTCTTGATAGTTGTGGTATGTCTCATCTAAGCTGCTATTATTAATTCACAGGAAAAAAGTCCAGAGTGTTGACCTAATTTTACAAAACAAGTTGCATATCAGCTGATGAATGCATGAGAAATTTTCAAGGCTTTCACAGTGGTTTTAAGGTAAGTTCAGTTATTTTTTTTAGACAATACTCAGTATTGTTCCTAGTAAACTGTAATATTAATAAATTAGGAGTTTTTTTTTAATAAGTGGTTGAACTTAACCTTAAAAACACTGTGAGAGTCTTAAATAGTTACCTGCTGGCCAGATTTTTTTTGTTATCCCAAAGCCCAGAGCCAGTCAGAAGTCCTGAAGTCCCAGACTTTTCTAGGTGGTCTTCAATAAAGGTCTATGATAATGTATTAGGAAGTATCATCATTCCGTTTTGAAGATGATAAGATTGGAGTTTAATAGAAGTTGAATGACTTTGCCCCAGGTCACGTAAGAGTTGAAACTGGGAATATGATCCCAGAGTCCAGACTCTTTCCACCACCTCACACTACTTCCTCAGGAGAAGGGAAGTTCTGTATGGCAGGGCACTTCTCTGTGAGAGAAAGGTGGACTGCTATCCAGTTACCGCCTGTGCATACAGTAGCGCTCTTAAATTTCCGTAGGGCTGACCTAGGTCAGCCCTTCAGAGAGA